TAAGCCCCTTGATGTATAATAGCTTCACCCTGATTCTTTAATGATGTATTATTAAAATTATCCCTAAGCCTTGAGTTTGTTAGAATAAAATAATCTATAAAAGAGTTGAGAATTCGTGTTAGTTAAAAGAATATCCTTTGGGATTCCAAGAATTCATTCATAATACCTTTAATACAATACCCGAATAATTCCTTTTAATAAACAAATTATTGTCAAATTACCAACATCATGCCTCTGGCGAGTTGCCTTATCACCAAAATTATATCTTTTTGTATATAAATTAATAAAACCCTATGATTCACCACATAACAGTATAAAAACATTTATTATAAAATGCACTATGGTGGTTTTGCACCTATTATGTTTTTATACACTTTTCTAAGTTTCATAAGTTTTTCATATAAAATTTTTAGCTCAAATTTTTTTATGATGGAGTTAATATTTAGTAATAAAATTAAGGTTTTGAAAGGGTTTGGGGGATGTAGAGCATTTTTACTTAGAGTATCAAATATTAATTAATAGGCCAATTTTTAAGATAATGCACATAGGTGATAAAACACCATAGGTGCATTTTAGTAAAAGTGGTATAAAAAATATGAAATAACAAAGATTTTTATTATAATTAAGAAGAATAGTTATTATAAGATATAAATGTTAGCTTAGAAGTGAAAACTGTCTTTCTTCGCAAAACCTATAGATCGTTATAAATTGTGCTGATCCCTTAATTAAATTATTACCACGAAAATTTTCTGAATATATAACTTATATTTGGTTTTTATTGATTGTTGAAATCTTATATAAATGAAATGTTCATAAACAATACTGCAATAGCACCATAGCTCACCTTCTAAATTATCGCAGTTTGCAAATTGATGTACTTTTTGATCAAATTTGTAGATCGCTGCATACCAATACAATTACCTGATTGTAGTCTGATTGTGCGATTATACAAGATTGTAAAAATTATAAAGTGCGTTCTTTGGCCAAAGATTCAATATAAATATATTATTCTCATCGACCAGATCTATGCTCACTAAAAAATCATTGCAAAATCGCGCAACTGGACGACATTCAGGTGATTGTTCAAGTGATTGTAGCCATTGTACGGGTATGCAGCGATCTATAAATTTGATCAAAAAGTACATCAATCTGCAAACCACAATAATTGATTCCAAGTGTCCCATATAATGATAAAAGTCAAATAGATCATTTTTTTGTAGGGATGTTAAAAGTTCGGTTTGGTCTAGTTCGGTCCTGTTTCATAAAAGTTCAAGTTCAGAAACAGTTCGAAAATAAGTTCAAATAATGTCATGTGAAAGTCACACTCAAGTTCCAAAAATATCATGTGAAGGCCACATGAGTGGCCACATGCGAGTTTCTAAACTCAGTTTCGAACTTTTTATTTAAGTCAGAAATTTAATAGATTTACAATTTAGAAAAATACAATAAGACAGTCGAATATTCCAACCTTTAAAAAAATACTAACACTAAACTAATACTAATGCTTAATGCTAAACTAATTTATTAAACTTTACTCAAGTTTTTTAATTATACCAGATTCATACCAACTTTTAAGGCAGAGAGTTGCCCATGCTTTTTCTGGATCTAAACAATTACGTAAGGAGTTTATAGTATGTTTGGCAACTGAGAATACCTGCTCACTTGGTACACTAGTAGCCTGTATGTACAGGTAGTTTTGAGCTATTTTTGCAATATTTTTGTAATTTTGATTATTTGCATGAGCTTTCTACCATGATAATACTTCACAATCAACTTCTGCTAACATAAGATAATTTCGTAGTTCACTTGTTACTCCAGGAGAATCAGATGAACGCTTAAGGGCCTTTTTGAAATAATTGTATGAAGTTAATTGTAAAGTATCTGTTTGGAATGATGAACTGGCATTAGAGGTAATATATTTTGAATAGATATTTTCTATATATTGTTGAGCTTTATGTTGTTTTTTTGCATCATATAACAAAAGCTTAATGTTTGGATTGAGTGGAGCAATCATAAAGGATGATTGATCCAATTTTTGCCAATACTCGTCAAGTTTAATTACTATGGCTGTTGCAACAAGTTTTGGTGTAGTCTCTTCGACTATATTATTGATAATTTCTTCGAGAGATCTTTTAATTGTAGTGAATATTAAATGAAGATCTCCTAAGGTTGGGTGACTTGATGATGAGAGCATTAAAGTTGCTTAGTAAATGGGGTTAAGAAGATTATAAATTTCCTATATAATCGTATTTAAAAAAATTAAAAATAATAATAATAATAATAATAATAA